TTTTTTTTTTTAATTCATTCAAGCATATGATTCACACAGTTATATATAATTTAATGTGATGGATAAACGCCCAGACTAGGTGTAAGGGAATAGAGTACACCCCTTTCTCCATGAGGCATTGATAAATGGAAGCACTGGGCTCTGTTCCGTGTCATACTTAAGGCCTGACTGACTGCACCACAGGGTGACCCTTTACCTCTAACATGGTCGTGCACCTTGTGGTGACTGGAGCTGCAGTAGATTCAGATATACAGTGGGTTAATGCAATTCCCTTCCATTTGTATTTTGCCTGCTTTCCCTAAGTGGCTGTTTTCCTCACTTGCACAGTCATTTTTCATTGGCATTATGGTAATAGCCTATTCAGGCGGTTGATCGTTTTAATAATAATACCAATAGAATAGAAGGTAGATCTGTAGTGCTGGAGTTCCACAATATTTCAGATATTCCAAAGCTGTTTATATTGACTCACCTACAGCCTGATGCTGGTCTTTTGGGTCAGGAGCACCTACACTTCATTTAGTTAATAAATTACTATTGTTTTTGAACATTTTATATTAACACTGATGACCTATATGATAGTATTTATTTTCTATTTCTATTTTACTTTATTCTTTTCCATTCTATTTTTTATTCTATTCTATTTCTGTTCCAATTTTATTTTATTTTCTATTTCTGTTTCTATACCTCCTGGTGGGTCATTGGCCAGAGGTATGTACAAGGTGGCTGCACCTCTGCACGTGCCCCAAGCCTCCCGGAATGTGTGGTTCGAGATTAAAAGATAGCTCAGAGGACTGTGTTCAAGGCGATCAAACACTCTGCCGTAAGGAATGCGGGCTCTGGCCCGTGTTCTGCCCATGCTCCATTTCATTGCTCAGATTGAGACCACCAGGACCTTCCCCTGTCCTTCCCCTGTCACCTGCCTGAATTCCTGCGCAGGTGTCCTTCCTTTGTCCTTTATCCTTGCTTCCTGGTTCTACCAATAAGAAGCCTGAGGCTTCAGTTCAGGGTTGGGTTTTAAAGGCTTTCTCGTGCTGAGGGGTCTCGGCTGGGGGCAGCCCTTCTGGGACCTCTTGGAGTTTGGATCAGACTCGGCTCCCAGTGGCCTTTCACCCTTTTGTGCTGTGCTAGCGTCATGAGCTTCAACCCTTCAACCTCTTCTCTTGTCTGTTCCGAATTCTCAGCTTAGGTAAGACATGGAACAGAAGATATGCAGAATATTTCTTCTGAAAAAGAAAGTCTGTATCCTAATGATCAACTTCAACCAGATTATTTGTATAGTTTGCAGATTTCTGAGGTTTCTGCTGATTTCTTCACACCAATAATTTGCAGCTAACGAAATGTACAATTCTCAAAAATTTTTGTAAAAACAAAAAAGTGACAAATACAGCATGACCGAACTAGCTTTTGCACTAACATTTGTTTTTGTTCATATTGCCTAATTAGGTTAATAAGAAAGCTCCTTAATTTCTATGAACACATTTGTCTTGAAATAATTTAATGTTGCTTCCCATTTTCTTATATATTTTGTATGTTTGGAAGAGAAAGTCTTCTGAGATAAGTCAGTGAAGAGGTGATGTCTGTAAAAGGGTTTCTTGGGCTGGGGAGACAGCTCAGTAGCATAAATGCCTGCTTGGAAAGTTCAAGGTCCCTAGTTCGATTCCCCGGTACTGATAAATAAATAAATAAATAAATAGGATTTATTTCTTAGTAGAATAATTAGCCAAAATAAGTTTATAGTTATGGAAACAGAATCTTTAGTAATACAAGATAATATGTAGGATCATTTGGTCACTTTTCCATCATTAAGACAAAATATCCAGCACTTTCTATTTAAAACAGGGAAGGTTTCATTTGGCTCAGTTCTTAGAGAACTCAGACCATCATAAGTGGTCTGCCTTCAAGCAGGTAGGCGTAGAGGAAGCTACTGGTGGGCGGAAGCCGTTCATCCCCTTTTAATGAACCAAGACAGCCAGCCTTGGTGGCGCATGCTTGTAATCTCAGCACTCAGGAGGGTGAGGCAGGCAGACTCCTGTGAGCTTGAGACCAGCTTGGGCTATAAAGTGAGCTCAAGGGCCAGCATGCGTAGCGAGATCAGGTTGTGGAGGTTTCAGTCCATAATCTGCAGGCTCCAAGGCAGAGTGGCACATGGCAGAGGGCAGCAGTTCATGGCCGTGGAAAACAACAAAAGCAAAAAGGGAGGGGCGGCAGCCGAATGCAAGTCTTTTATTAAAGATATCCTTTGCAGGTAATTTCTTCTGTGACACGTCTTTGCATTATCTTAAGAACATCTTGCAAAGAGCAGCAATTCTTAGTTTGGTGATTCCAATTTTCCATTTATGGTTTTATAGATCATGCTTTTGGTGTCTTACCTAAGAAGTCGTGGCCTAACCCTACACGAAGAGCTTTCTCTGCTTTGTGTGGAAGTTGCATAGTTTGGGGGTTTTCTTTTAGGCCTCATGATCTGTTTTGAACTTTTGAATATGGTGTGAGGCATAGATTGAAGGGTTTTGTTTTAATTTACATCCAACTTATTACCCAGAAAAAAGTTGTCGTTGCACTTGTATGATCTCCACTCTGCATTTTAAAGCAGTAACGTACAGTAGTCCCTCGCTATCTCACAAGTCAACTTTGGCTGTTTCGCAGATTTTCAAAAAATATTAATCTAAATTATTACAGATTTTTTGCTATGTTGCGGGATTTTGCAGTACCTTACAGTATACATATGTTGTTCAAATTACATAGGTTTATGAGTTTAGTAAATGGCTAAGAACATTAGAAGTGATTTTAAAAGTGTAGGAAAGATTTTTATAAGAGTGTGGGAAGGGTTTATAAAGCCTTAAAGTATATATAAGTACTAAAATAAATACAAGATCGCTACTTCACTGATTTGGACTTATCACGGGGTGTCTGGAATGTAACCTCTGTGATAAGTGAGGGACCACTGTATTTTGATTTTTTTAGATTAATTTGAGCTAGAGAAATTTGTATGAAGGACGCAGCAGGGGGAGTCCTTGTGTCTCTGCAGCGGCACCGTGGAGCTGGCTGCCGCGGTCCCCGCCTGCTGCGTGGGCCTCCGCTCCACTGAGCCGCTTCGGTCCAGCAGGTTCTTCCCCCAGCAGCACCGCTGATATTCTGATCCAGGGGCCATGGGCAGACGTTGGAGTGATTTTATTTAAGCTAAAAATCAGACCTATCTCAGGCCCTTTTATTTTTTAGAAGTCAGTATATCTACATTTTAAATAACAGTCCATTCCAGAGCCCTTACGGCAACTAGATCAGTTGAAGAAGCAAAGTATTTGGTGGTGTTGCCCTTCTTATTTGGAAAAAGCCCGATATAGGAACAAATTTTGATTTTTTTTTTTAAGCTCTGAATGAGTAGTGTGAAGGAAAGAGGTGTTTATTTTTTAGGTATGCCACACATTTTTTTCCTTGTCACATAAATAACTTAATTGTGCAAAATTTGGAAGTGCAGTAAAATAATTTTAAATGACCCAAAATTCCACTACCAACAGTTTTTTAGCTCTTTAGCTAAATCCTGATGGATTTCACCGGCTCCAAGGGAGGAGGCAGCTCCTTGCTTCTCCCTTTGTGTCTCCTCCTGTCACCCTGAGCGGGATCAGATGTTTCTCCCATTCTTTTCACGCCAGTACTGAGAACTGGAGTTGTAGCCATTCTGCTGGCTTTCCGAGTGGATTTGCAGATTCACAGCAAATTTTATTTTTGTTTAGTTGTTTTTTTACTTCCTTTGAAGGAAATGAGAATGGATGGAAGAAGAGTTTATTAAAGTGAGTGTATCCTTGTTGTGGAAAATGAGAAGAATAATTTAAAAGAAACATTTAAAAACCAGAAAGAAATCGCTTACATTCCCTAGAAGTGATCGCTTCAGCCATTTAACTTTCTTCATATCCTTTCAATACCTTGTTTTTATATATACATTTTTAGCATCCTTTATAAAATAACAGCTATGTCAAAGGAATTTTCTTTGTCATTGAAACACTAGTATTTTGAATAGCTATATAGAGTTATCATTTAAATGTAATTTATGTCTTTGATACTATACATTTTTTCCAGTTGTTTGCAGCTGTGAATTGTATTGTAGTGAATATATCTGTTTCTATCTCTGATCATTTTTCTTAGAATAAATCTTCCAAAGTAGTTTATGACCAAAAAAATGACACGGATTTTGGTTCATGTTGCAGTCTTCCTTAGAGCAGGTAAGTTCTCCATTAAACGCTCTAAATAGGCCACTGTGAAATGTGGTGAATAGTTACTATTTGTTTCCAGATTCAAATCCTGAATAGTGGTTAACAGGCTGACCCCAGCCTTCCGAGCTGCCCCTCAAAGTGTAGATAGAGCCTCTTTTTGTCCCCTCCCTTTCAGGACAGGGATCCCCTCCCAGGCAGGTCTGCCAGTGTGGAGCTCCCTGATGGCGTGGTCCACGTGTGGCTTATTCCTCTGGCCACGCACCTGACCTGCCCTGAGCATGGTGCTCTTCCCCTCTTGCAGCCCCCTGCCGTGGAGGACCTGCTCAGCACGCTCCTGGCTCCAGTCATCATCTCCTCCGTAACCATGCTGGAGAAACTCTCAGACACATATACCTGCTTCTCCACAGAAAATGGTGACTATCTGCACGTCCTTCACTTGGTGAGTGTGTGGGCCTGTGGGCCACATCCCTCTTCCTCCTCCTCCATGGGGCCTCTGTGTGCCTGTCCCCCGTCTTGGACTACAGACTGCTGTGGAAGGCAGGAACTGCACAGCGTCAGAGCCTCTGGCATAGTTCTCCGAGGAGATCGAGGCAGGTGGAGGGGGCGCTACAATGCCTGGCTGACGCCGCCCGCTGTGCCCACAGTTTGGAGAATGCCTGTTCATCGCCATCAATGGAGACCACACTGAGAGCGAAGCGGACCTCCGGCGTAAGCTGTGTGTGCTCAAGTACCTGTTTGAGGTGCACTTCGGGCTAGTTACTATGGACGCCCAGCTCATCCGAAAGGAGTGAGTCTCCAAGGCTGGTCGCTGGGTCTTGCTGGGTGTGGCCTTAGGGCCAGTGAGCCTCTGCTCGGCCTCAGTGAAGCCGCATTTGCATACTCTGCCCTCACTGTGTCCCTGGATCTAAGAATCAGAGCTCAAAGGAGCTGTGAAAACTGTCTTTTCGAGCCTCTCAGGGTAAATAACTTTGCCCAGAGATAGCCAGTTGGTCAGCGGCAGCATCTGGCCTGAGCTCAGCATCCCCATTATGCTCTCTGCCCACGGCCAACCTCAGTGGTCTGTCACTACCAGCCAGGCCTGAGCCAGTCCTGTCTGGCTCCTCAGAGCTGCCCTGGACTCTCCCTTTGGAAAGACACGTTCCCATGCATATCTACTCTGGTGACCCTTCCTGAAGGGCGTGGCCCCAGAAGCCTTCTCCGACCCTATCCTGACACCCTGAGCAAAGCAACACGAGTGAGCACCCACAGTGAGGCACTTCCTATACGTGCAGGCGTCCTGTCTTGAGTTGTAGCTCTCACAGTGTTGGTGGCGCATGCTACAGGCAGTGAATGCCCCTTATACAAGTCACTTTCGTCTTTCCAGGTCTGTCAGTGTTAGAGAGGGCTGTGCCCTTGTGTTTGCCCCTCATAGCAAGACAGCATTATCTGCTTTGAGGGATCTGTGGAGGACATGAGAGGCACAGAAAATGCAGGAACCGTCCTGGCTCCTTTTATCTTGCTCTCATCTTTTACCCAGTGGCCTGACCCCTGGTTCCTGCCCGTGCTGCTCAGCCAGGGCACACATGAAGCACAGCCCCCCTCTGCTCGGGGCTCTCCCACAAACACACAGTGATGTTACTGAGCTCTCTAGGTCCGATGCTGGCCTGGGATAAGATCTTTGGGTTGGTCGGAAGTACCCGGCTTTCTCACATGCCTCTGTCTGTGTTTCTGCCTCAGGCTGAGGCCTCCAGACCTGGAGCAGAGGGCCCAGGTGTGGGCTCACTTCCAGAGCCTGCTGTGGACCTACAGCCGCCTTCGGGAGGAGGAGCAAAGCTTCGCTGTGGAGGTGACTGGGGTACCAAGGCCTCAGGCCTGGGAAGGGTTGGGTTAGAAGGGGTAGCTGCCAGCTTGAAGACCATGTTTTGATCTTTATGAGTAGGGGCACAAGCAGAATTGTCCTTTCTGGTCATATGGTGGCCCGGTAAAACTGACTTTTCAGTGCAGTGTTAGGAATCACTGTAGATTACAGAACTCTGGAGATAGTGCCTTTAAGCTTGCTTCCCACCCCAGGAAAGATGGAGCAAACCAAAACTAGGGTAGAAGGCGGTGAGCAGAAGCGGCACTAAAGGCAGCGTTGCCCTGAGTGAGGGATCCCTGCACTACAGCCAGCAAACAGTCCCCAGCCAGCAGCACCTTCAGGAGCTAAACCTGCCCCTTCCAGGGCCGACTGGGATGACGAGCTGGAGTGACTTTGGCAGCAGCACTGCCGTGACCCGTGTGGGGCAGACTCAAATTCTCACTGTGGAGCAGTGCCCACCAGTCATCAGAGGGCTTGTGCAGTGCATGCCCTCAGGGCCCACCCTCAGAGCTTCTCATTCAGTGGGTCTAAGCTCGGGGCGCTAGAGTCTGCATTTCTGGTAGATACCCATATGATGCTGAGGTGCCCATCCCAGAGTCACACCTTGAAACCGCTGCTTTAAGGGACAGACTAACCTGAAAAAGAAGTGGGCTTGCAATTAAAGAAGTTGGTGTCACCCTTGAAAACCCGCACTCCTGTCTGAGTAGGAGATTCTCTTGGTTCTGCTTAATACATCTGCATATGCTTTTTGAAGAAGGAGGAGGAGAGTGGGTGGAAAAAGAAGAGGAGAAAGGGAAAGGGCAAGAGGAGGAGAACAGGGGAAAAAAGATGAGAAGGAAGTCTGATGCACAAGAAAATAAGCCACCATGGCTGGAAGTCAGGAAGTCAGGAAATCACTGCCCAATCCAGGAAACATGCGCTACCCGCTGTATAATAAGAGGCGCCCCAGACCCTGAGGGATGAAGGCCCAAACCCTGTCCTTGAGAGAGCTCAGCCCGCTGTGAACACCAAAAGTGGAAGGGGCGTTCCAGATGCCACGCTGGGCTTCACGTGCCACGTCCACAGTAGCACAGAGGATAGAGTGGCTGGCTCTTTCTGGGACAGCAGGAAAGCCTTCTAGCCGGAAGTGACCTGATGCAGTTAGGGTGAAATCTGGACTCCTCCCCGGCCCACCAGGCCCGTGTGACTGTCGCCGCCTGTCTCCTGAGCCTCACCTCCAGCCTCTCTCATTCTCACTCTCGTGCATCGCTCATGTGGGATTTCTCTGTTTCAGAAAAGCTGAATGTTTAGCCCTGCCCGGCGTGTTCGTCTTTAGCTATGTGTTGTTTCTGAGTACTTGAAATGTAGCTCATCCAAGTTAAGTTATGCTGTACATATGCACCAAATTTTGATGACTTAGAACAGAAAGGAATGTAAAATATCAGAGTAATGCTTTTTTATATGTTGGTGACACTTCAGGTATATTAGACAATTTCACCTGTTTCTTTTTCCTAGAAATTATTAAATTATGCATAGGACTCATCCTCTGCGTTCTGAACAGTGACGCTCTAAATTACAGACCTCAGGCCTTTGCGCTTGCTCTTTGCTGTGCTTGCTATGTTCTTCCTCTCTTTCTTTGGCAGACTTTCCAGTTCCTTAGATACCAGTTTAGAGCTCACCTCCTCGGGGACACTCTCTGAGCACCCTACCCAAGTAGGTCTCCGCTATTTGTCTCTAGCTTAGCAATGTACATTCTTACCGAGCACATAGCGTGGTTGGCTTGGTTTCGGCTGCCTCATCCACTGAAGTCTGCCCACCCGGCTGTGAGCCCAGGCAGGCTGAGGCCGTGCCAGTCATGGTCTCTGCGCTCCGACACACCTGACCCCCAGCGTGAGCTCAGGGCAGACTGGAGCAAATGTGCCCACCCGCCCCAGGCTGCAGGACACGAAGGTGCTGGGTAACGGGCTTCCTCATTTGACCAGGCCGTGGAGCGGCTGGTCCACCCGCAGCTCTGTGAGCTGTGTATAGAGACGCTGGAGCGGCACGTGGTCCAGGCCATCAATTGCAGTCCCTCGCGGGGCGCTGAAGAGGTCCTGCATGCCTTCCTGCTTGTGCACTCCAAGCTGCTGGCCTTCTACTCCAGGTGAGCTGCGCCCCAGCCTCCCACCCACGCCATTCTTAAGGATTTTTTTTTTTTTTTTTTTTTGCTCTGAATGCCTTCAGGGCAGGTTTGGCTGGCTCGAGTTGTGGGGATCGAACCACAGCAACCTGAGCCTGACTGCTTTGCGGAAGCAGCCACTTAAAGAGCTGAGCTGGGCCAGGCCCCCGACCCACGCCATTCTTACGCCCTCTGCCTGGAAGTCGTGGTCTCCTGGCCCAGGCACCCCCTTTACTTCCATGCAGTGTTCCCAGACTTCACTTTTTCTGCCTCCCCGCCCACCCCTCTCTGAGGCACTTCCTTCGGGAGCACCTCGTAGAGTCCGCAGTAAGGAGTATGAGTATGTTCCTACTACTCTATGGGCTTTCCCCATTGGTGGTGGTTTTATTTTTTCACAACCAAATTTTATTTTAAAAATTGATGTAATTTTGTTTATACCTAGCTCCAGGAAGGGCAGATAGCCAGCCCGCTGCATACTCCGTGACGCTGCTTGAGGCGTCATGCAGGGCTAACAGCTTCCTGTTCCTGTCTCCGCAGCCACAGTGCAAGCTCCCTACGTCCGGCCGACCTCCTTGCTCTCATCCTCCTGGTTCAGGAGCTGCACCCCAGCAAGGGCACCATGGAGGAGGATGACCTTGCCCAGGTGTCTGGGCAGCAGGGAGAAGGCTGGGAAGACCTGCTGGAGAGTGGTGGGCAGGCCCTGAGGGCTGAGCTTGTCAGGGGACATCTGGGCCAAGGAGTGGTATAGTGTTTACCAGTGGAAGGGGAATTTTGAATTGCCTGTGGTCTAGTGGTTAAAACTAGATTTATGGAATTGGTCCTCGTTGGAAACCTAACTTCTCTACTTTACCATGTGAGTTGAGGTTCCATTTTTTGCAGTGGGAATAATGGTGGTGTTGCCCTTACTGAGGTGTTATGAGGGATTAAAAACACAAGCCACATAACTCCCAGCAGTGCCTGGGCAGAATCAAGGCTCGCTGCTAACTGACCTGGGGACATTGTCATCAGTGGCATAGGTGCAGGTTTGAAATGTGTTGGGTTTAGGGAATCTCTGGCTCTGAAGAAAGAGTGGACCACCTAGGATTGAAACCTTCCTGGAAAGTCTGAGGACCTAGGCCGGCAGTAGAATAGGTTGGAAGGGCAGAGGGCTTCTCTGTGATGTGTCGGGAAGCAGAGGATGGGTAGAGAGAAGCCAGATGTGCGCTAACCGATGTCTCTGCTGTCCTCAAAGCCTCCCCCACACAGGAAACCCCGGAGCAGCCAGAACATCCCCGTGCAGCAGCCCCGGAGCCCACACTCCTCAGGCCCAACCAAGGACAGTTCTTCAGGGACGGTGTGTGCCACACCCTGTGTGCAGTGCGGAGGGTGGATCTGTCTTGCTGTGTGACCTGCATTTTCCCAGGAGAGCAGGGGCCTGAGCCACCTGGGAGAGGCCCACCTGGCCCTTGGCCCATGGCCTGAGCTGCCACTTCTCCCGCAGGACACAGACAGCTTCTCCCTGCCTGAGGAGTACTTCACACCAGCCCCTTCCCCTGGGGAGCAGAGCTCAGGTGAGGCCTGGGGACAGCAATGGTGGCAGCCTGAGGGCAAATGTCCACACGTGGCCAAGACAACAGCTTCGAACAGTTCAGTGGCTCTCTGGGTATCTCCTAAGGGCCAAGCAGGGAGCCCAAATGCCTGTAGCACAAGCTGTTACCTGCATCCCTGTTCTCTGCCAGCCCTGGCATGAATGTTAGGACTCCTAAGGCTGCTCGAGCAATCCATAAAACTTACTTTCTTTTTTTTGTTGCAGAACTAGGGATTGAACCCAGGCCCTTGCGCTTGCCAGGCAAGCGCTTCTGCGCCATCTCCCCAGCCCCCATAAAACTTTCTATGACAAGGTGATTTCTTTTTAGAACTCCCCTTTATATATAGTCTCAACTGCATCCTTTTCTGTAGATAATTAAGCCATTAAGTAAAATTAAATAATCATTTGATTTCAGGTACATTTTGAAATCTAAGCATTTAATCTCTAACTTATACCTTAACCTGTTTTTCCAGTGTATATTGATAAACAGTAAAGATGAACTATTAATATTCAAAAGGTTGCTAACTAAAAGATGCACAGAGTTGCTTAGAGAAGAAGAGAAGCCAAAATCCAGATTGTCCTCATCTTTGTGAGCATGTCTTATGCGTCTCTGAAGTTCTTAGAATAAAAGAAAGGATGCTCTTGGCTCACACCATCTGAGAGACAAAAGAGGACCCAAGTAGAAAGGGAGAAACTTCTTGGGGATGGTTTTGAAGGGAGGTTTATTAAGTGGCTTCCCTAGAAAGCAGCCCCAGCCTTGGCTGGGCACCTGGGGCATCGTCTGGGCCCAGGTGGGTGCATGGGACCCACTGCCATGTGAAGAGTCCCTGCCCCAGGTGCACTTGAGTCCCTGCCCCAGGTGCACTTGGACACAACCTGAAGATCTTTAAAAACTATGAGCTGCGTCTGGGCTCCGAGATTCTAATGTAATTGTTTGAATTGTGACAGGACTCTGAAAAATTTTTTCAAAAGCTCTCCAATGACCTTCATGTTAAGCCAAGGTGAAGTGCCTTGGGGTTCGATGTTCCTAACTCTAGGTTCCAGGAGCCGGGAGCCTTGGTGGTGTGCCAGCTCCTATCCATGCCTTTCCTGGGGAGAGGCGTGGCCAGCAGCACATTCTCTGAGCTCTGTGAGCTCCAGGCGCAAGGAGCAGCACAGCTGTGGACAGACTCCGCAGTTCCTGCTTGCCACTTTCTTCCACATTCATCAAGACCCTCCTCCGCGCCTTTGCTCTCGGTGCTTCACTTTTCATTCCCCAGAGCTTTAAATGATACTGTGCAGTGCACAGAATTCTCAGGAGCGGATTGATGAGTTGTGTTCACCTCTCGCACCAGCCCCAGCACTGGGCACTTGCACCACACTACCTTCCTGATCTTTTTTATTTTTCACTTTGAAACAGGGTCTCAGTAAAGCACTAATCCATTTTTAAGTCAGCTTTGCAAAACTTAGGAACTTACTTTCCCCAGAGAAATCTGATTATAAATGAGGTTATTTGCAATGAAATTTAAGTGAATATTATCCTTACAAATGTCTAATGTCTCAAGTAATTGATGGTTTCTGTATTTTTCTGTGAAGCAGGAAGGAAATCAAGCTCAGTTCTTAGTACAGACTCGGTCCTCAGTAAAAGTGGTGATTGAGTAACTGAACAAGGCGTTAAGACCGTGTGTGCTGGCTCCTAGGGAGGACCTGAAGGAATAGAGGGCAGACCCAGGGGCTGAGCGAAAGGAGTTAAAGGCAGCGTGTGAGGAAAGTGCCCCCGCTGCCAGGCACGCCCACGAGCTCCATTCCCACCCATAGCCGGCTGTGGGAAGCTTGTCTCCTCTAGGCTGGGTACTATAGGCTGGTACTGCGGTGCCTACCTGTGCTTGCCAGCTGGGGAAGGGACGGCTTTTCTAGGGCTGAAGCCCTAGTGACGTGCCTTTGCTCCCACTGGTGCTCTGGCTGAGCTGGTGGCAGCTCCTGCTTCCAGACCTGCTACTGGGCCATTTACCTTACACTGTGACATTTTCACCTGTCCTACAGGTAGCACCATCTGGCTGGAGGCAGCGCCGTCTGACACGCCACAGGTGAGTCTCCTGGGTCTCCTTGGGCACCCGGGACTGTGGACACTGAGGAGCTGCTGGGCGCACATGTGGCTGCCCCTGCCTGCACCTGCAGAGTGGGTCAGCGTGGAGGGGACAGGCTGGGGAGTAAGAGTGGCCCTCCACACCCCACCACCTCCCACCCTCTCCGTGTTCTGGGGCATCACAGTCCAACTTATACAAACATTTTAGGGAAAAGTGAGAAATACAGGAAATATAAAAAGTGGAATAAAATTTCTCTTAGTGCCACCCTAAAAGTGAAATGAGCAGTTTTGGATGTTTCCTTCCACTTCTTTATGACTTTATCCACAGCCCATGTGCCCCTCCTGGGTATGTACACGCATGTTGTGGATCTTAACGTACTTCATTATACTGTTTTACTCCAACATTTTGCCATTTACAAAGTTGTCTTCAGCAGTACGAGTTTTAAGGATTATTCAAGAGGCCATCGATGCATATGTCACTATCAAATCCTCAGAACAAGTGGTTCATTGTTTGCAGTTTTGTATGTATGTTACGTATAACTGGAGTCGCATCCTTATAGAGAAATTTTTGTGGCATCCGTACTTATTTCCTTAATTCTCTCTTTTTTTTTCTCTCCTCTCAAATGCTGTTTCTCAGAGCTCTCACTTAGGCTGGTGTCTTACTCACTTAGCTGTTTTTACCTTAGCACCTCCAGTTGAGGGGCGGTCAGGACATTCTGAGGCACCTGAAGTGATGAGCATATTGAACTCAAATGCGTTCCTCCCGTTGAAGGTGGGGCAGGGAGCCTCTCCCCAGCCCCAGTGTCTCTGTCCTCCTTCTCCGTCCCTCCTGGGCTCCCCACGCACCTGCTCTGCCACTTTCCCACTGCACTGCCTGAACCGTAATTGTGACTGGGCAGAAAGGCCCAGGGTAAGCGGGGACCAGATGGACTGCAGGGACTACAGCTGCCAGGACAGGTCAAGCTGAAGGGGTCTAAGAACCGGGATTTCTCTCACTAAACACATCTGTTCCCCAGAGTGCCGGGGTAGAGCAGGGAAGGGACAGATCCCACTTGGGGTGGGGTCCAGAAGGCTCTTCTCCTTGCCCACCTATTGACAGTGCTTCCTCTGCAGGTAGCTGAGGACACCCTCCAGACGCTGGCTGCCCGTTCCCCAGTGCCGTCTTGTCCCAGAAGGATCTTCCTGGATGCCACTGTGAAGGACAGCTACTGCCCTTTGGTGCCGCACACCATGTACTGCCTGCCGCTGTGGCCAGGGATCACCATGGTGCTCCTTACCAAGGCACGGGCCTCCCCTGCCCTAGGGGTGCTCGGGCCCTGACGCTGTTGGCTGCCCGCTCCATCTGCTCTCTGCTCTTGCCTGCAGAGCTCCAGCACGCCGCTGGCCCTGGCTCTGTACCAGCTGCTGGATGGCTTTTCTCTCCTGGAGAAGAAGCTGAAGGAGGGCCAGGGGGCTGGGAACGCCCTGCGGTCCCTGCCCCTTGTGGGAGATCTGCGCCAGAGGATGGACAAGTTCGTCAAGAGTCGAGGGGGGCAGGAGATCCAGGTGGGCCCTAGGCTGTGGGGCAGTTAATACCTAGCAGATGAGAGGCCGGTAGCTCTGGGTTCTGTCCTCACTTCTCACAGAACTGGGATTCTTGTTTTCCTCATTATGTAAACAAAACTGAGTAGCCACACTCCAAGTTTTCAGAGCACTTTATGTGAGTTTAATAGAATGTAAATTGTAATTCCCATTTTTTTAGAGGAAGAAACTGAGGCTTGGGTAAGTTGTAATTTAGCCGAGATTAGCTGGCTCATTCATGAGTAGCAATGCCAAAGTCTAGAGTGATGATACCCTAAAGACCAGTGACCTGCATGTCATGGGGCATCCTCCCTGCAGGGTCACTTTCCACCTGGGCACCAGGGGCTGCACACTGACGTACAGGACACACAGTGCTGGGGTAGGAACTGAGACTGGGAGCCAACTTGGGTGAGATGCCCTGGAAGCGCACTGTGTAAACACCATGTGGAAAGTAACTCCCCATCCTTCTTCCAGAGCACCTGGCTGGAGTTTAAGACCAAGGCCTTTTCCAGAGCGGAACTAGGATCAGAGTAAGTGGAAGCCCTTGACAAAAGAGTCCATGGGATGAGACAGATAAGTCTCCAGACCACAGATCCCTGCAGCCTGCAAGAGAGGAGTCCAGGAAGGGGCTGACGTATAGCAACACCTAGGGAAAGCAGAGGGCCGGCCCACAGGCTTCAGGGACAGAGCTGGAAGTCGCGGGTGATCTGTGAGGGCGCCTGGTGTCCAGACAGCCCAATGTAGTGCTGCCTGGGGGCTGCCTCCAGCAGGTCTCTGCGAAAGTTAGCAAGATCAGTGGTTGGCAGAGGTACCCCAGAGCCAGGTGCCATGCCGGGGAGAGCAGGGAAGCTGCCTTCTGGCCCAGTGAAGGGGTGTGTTGTACATGGTGGACGTGGCCACGCGGGCCAGCGCAGTGTCTGTCCTGCTGTGATGTGGTCACCTCCTGGTGTCCAGGCTGCTCCAAGTGTGTGGGAAGCTCAAGAGGCAGCTCTGCACCATCTACCAGCTCAGCTTCCTGAGTGCAGCACCCAGCAGGGGAGGCCCGTGCCTGCCGCAGCAGCTGCAGGACCGAGCCCAGAGGCTCATGCGGTGAGTGCAGTGGCTCCTTGGCGGAGCAGGAGCGAGCGGAGGGTGGCCCTCCCCGCTGCTGCACTTCCCCTTCCCTCTTGGCAGAGAAAGACTGCTGGACTGGAAGGACTTCCTGTTGGTGAAGAGCCAGAGGAACGTCACCATGGTGTCATATCCTGATGCTTGGCTCCGCCCCCCAGGAAAGCCTGTGTCCAGGGCTCTAGGCTCTAGGGAAGGAAGAAAGGATTTCAACCCGTTTCTTTCTCTGAAGAAAAAGAATTGAAGATTGTGTCCCATATCGCTTATGGGTTGGGACACTAACGCCAGAGTTCCAAAAATCCTCCTGCCCAAAGTTAATTCATAAAAGCTCTAAAGAGCCTTCAGGCCAGTCCTGTCTAGCCATAAAAATGGTAATAGGTATTAGGGGGAAGGCTGGGCATTCCCAAGATCTGACTGGTTCAGGAGGCCCAGGCCATTCTCTTTGGATAGTAACAATACCCTGTAGCATGTAAAGGCCCTGATATGGCCTACAGTAACGTGTATCCCTGTTCAAAGAATCATTTCCAAGAGTTATTTGACTCTGGTATCATGAACACTAGTTTTATTGAGTACTTACTTGCCAGGGAATTTCAAGCCACTTTTCCTGTCCTAAAAGCGCCAACATGCCAGGCCTCAGTCTCCAGTGCCTTAGGTCCTCAGGACACTGGTGAAGGGGCTCCAGGGAGGACTTCTGCATGTGCCACTGCCCTTCCCGAGCCCTGCTCTCTATGGTCCCTGGCTCTCTGGGCCCCTTAACTCAGGCCGTTACCTACCTGGAGGACTTCCCAGGCTTGGTGCATTTCATCTATGTGGATCGCACGACAGGGCAGATGGTGGCTCCTTCCCTCAGCCACAGTGAGAAGACTTCGTCAGAGCTGGGCAAAGGTCCCCTGGCTGCCTTCATCAAAGCCAAGGTAACTGTTCCTAGCTAAAATGGAAAGACCTGCAAGCTCAGGTCATTTGGGCGTCGGAACTTTGTTTTTCTGTTTTGTGGTACCAAGGTTGGAACCCGGGGCCTCTAGCGTGCTAGGCAGTACTGTGCTACTGAGTTATACCATGAACACCATCAGAATTCAAAGCTAGGTGGCTTCCACTGAGGAAGCATTCTTGGGAGTTCTTTTCTTCTAATTTAATTGACTGTTTTTCATGGATAACTTGGTTTGGTTTGTTTTGGTTTGGGTGTTTCGGCATGGAAAGAGGTAACTCCCCCACTCCCTTCTTTCCTTCCTCTTTCCCTCCCTCCCTTACCTTTTTTTTGCAGTACTGGTTATTAAATCCAGGGTCTTTGCACTGAACTATGCTTCTCCTTCATTTTATTTAATATTTATTTATTTCTGAGACAGGGTATTTCTCAATGTCCATGTTACCCAGGCTGAGCCTGACCTTGCAACCCTCCGGCCTCAGACTGCCTGGCTGCTGGGATTCAGGCTTGTGCTGCCGCACCGGGCTTCTGCCGAGCGTGTCATGATTCAGATAACGGTTCTGCTGGGGACCAGGAAGCTTGTGTTAGAAACCAGTATCTGCCTCTTAGTAGCTGCCACAGGAAACAACAGGATTGCCTTACCGTACAGCTGCTGTATTACGGTAGAGATGATGAGGTGGCACATGTCACATATTTAGTGTAACTGTGTGGCACAAAGGACAGATACAGCTCAGAGCACGCTTGTGCCCTTGTCACCGCCGACCACGGCCTCGCCCTTCCCTGTGGAGACAGGCAGGCTGTCCGACACGTCGCGTTTGTTGCTGTGTATGCACTTGCTTGCGCTTTGCTCACTCTGTGTCCAGTTGTGTTTGCCACGTTTTCACTTCAGGTCCTCATGCCAGCAAATCTTCCATTACGTGATTTCTAACAACTCTATGATAGTCCATCATGGAACTGTAACGTGATTCATGGAGCTATTTTCCTAGTGTCTGAACCTTTAGATTATCTGTGTGCTTTTGTTGTTACAAATAATTCTTCAGTACACACCTGTTGTGCATTCACCTGAATTCTTATCCCTGATTATGTTCTCAATAGAGATTCCAGGAACTGGAATTGCTAAGCCAGTGGGAGGCGTGTTGTTAGGTGCACGTGCTCAAGTCGCCTTCTGCTAAAATACGGCCAATCCATGTATCTGTGTCTGGATATAATTAGTGTACTGTGATCAGGTGTGGGATGAGCCCTCCTTCCCTCGCACTAGGGCTGTTAGTGAGAGTGCCCACAGGTCTGTCCCAGTCCTAACGTGAGGGGACAGCTGAGCATCAGGCTGTCTTCCTTGGGCGTCTTTCACAGCCTCATTGCAGGTGCTGCTAAGGTAAGACAGCATCCCCGGGAGAGGGGAACCTAAGGCAGCTGTCCCCTCCGGTCCACTCTTCATTCAGGCTTTGTACTTGACCCACAGAGCAGAGGGCATGCCTGGCTCTGGGTGTCTGTGTTCCAACACGCTTCTCAGCTCCTGGTGTGGACCTGTGTGTTACCCCCGGGAGGGCTGAGTTGGGAGGGCAGAGGGCCTTGCTGAGTGGCCACACCTTGGTCTCCTACCACCATACTTATTTAGAGCAGCTTTGGCTAGTTGATAGCCTGAAAGGTCAGTTTTCTAATCTGTGACGTGTATATACAGTGCAGTTAGGCGTTTTATCCTTACAGTGGCTAAAGGGGGACCCATCTGTCCCTCTATCCTTCTGGAAGTGTTCTAGCCCAGTGCCTCGCTCCCTTCCTTGCTTCCTTTGGGTCTCAGAGGAGCTTCTGTGGGGTTCTTGCAGGGTTGCTAAATGCTGGCCCCTTCCCCAGGTCTGGGCTCTGATCCAGCTGGCACGCAGGTACCTGCAAAAGGGCTGCACCACACTGCTGTTCCGTGATGGAGACTTCTGCTGCTCCTACTTCCTGTGGTTTGAGAATGACATGGTAGGTTTGCCAGGTCCCTGGGCAGGATGGTCCTGAGGATTCCTTTTGTCTGCACAGTGTTTAGTCTGTCTGTTTTCTCTTCCTGTCCCTGGTGTGACAACACAGTGGCTGGGGCCCAGAACCTATGTCACACTGTCACTCTGACATCTAACTTTTTGGTCCCACGCACTGGCAGCCTTGTGCCATTGTCCAGGCAGCATCCAAGTAAACAAGAACAATGGACTCATGTCCTCACTGAGATCACGCCCCAGTGTCATCACCTTCCTGTGTGAAGCACCGAGCACACCACAGGGCCGTGCCAGGCTCGACCCGGTTTGTCTCCCTCAGGCCCGCGTTCCTCACCACATGCACCGCCTCCCCATTCTCTCCCCTCCACAGGGCTCCAAACTCCAGATGATCGAGGTGCCTGTCCTCTCTGATGACTCGGTTCCCATTGGTGTGCTGGGAGGCGACTACTACAGGTGATTCGGACTCACCATGTGGGGGCACTGCACACTCCAGGTGTGGTAATGAAGACAGACCCCCAAGAGGAAGTATCTCCTCCAGGAATGCCCCACCCAAAAGCTGGAAGCCCAGGATGGGGGCCTCTCACAGGCTGGCCAGCGTCCCACGGGGCTAGGAAGCCCCAGAGAGCAGGTCTGTGTCCTGCTTGTGCTGCATTTGGCTCTGCCTTGGCAGCATGAGATGCACGAGTGGGCCCAGAGCTTCGCTCCTGGCTCCCCTAGGTAGGATGCTTAGCCATGTGAAAGTTGTGCTCCAAGAGAGGAACGGGATCATCAGGAGCAGCGACAGGGTCGAGCAGCTAGGGCCGTGAGAGGACCAAGAGATTAGCCCTTGACTGGCTGGCCAGGAAAGGCCCTGCCTCAGAAGTGCCACAGCCTTGCTCCTCCTGAGTTCCATCCTCCCATTTCCCCCAGGAAGCTCCTGCGCTACTACAGCAAGAGCCACCCGACTGAGGCCGTCAGGTGCTACGAGCTGCTGGCCTTGCACTTGTCGGTCATCCCCACCGATCTGCTGGTGCAGCAGGCTGGCCAGCTCGCCCGGACCCTGGGTGAGGCCTCCCATGTGCCCCTGCCCTAAGCTGGGCACAGTAGGCCTGTGAGCCCGTTCTCCAGCCCAACCCCTCGGATATTCCCTGTCAAGAGCGTCCTCCCAAGGATATGTGCAGGCCTCAGAGCAGCCCTTGCGTCCACTTGGACTACCTCAAAGTGGGCGACCAGCAAGCCCCCAGTCCTGCCCTCTGGAGGGAAAGGCAGGTCATGGGCTTCGTCTTGATAGCAGCCATGGCTGTGAGATGGTGGTGGCTTCTCATTCAGAGCTACTTGTGTTCCCAGGAGAGGAAGTGCCCAGAGCTCAGTCTGCCTAAGGACACTCCCCTGGCCCCAGCCTCCCCTTTTGCTGCTCTGCAAGGAGGGGTGGCTCTTTTTCCTATCCCAGATGGAGGGCTCTCTGTTGGCTGCTTGAATTCCAGCTCTCCTGCCTCCTCCTTCTGCTACTTCTGCAGCTCTGAACTTCCCTTAAAATGCCAGGCCCATTTTCCCCTTGTTCCAAATGGTACCACCTGGTTAGGAGGATCACCGAACACTGGTATATACCCAATAAAAGTTGGTTACTGCCCTATCCAAGCCTTGAGTTCCTGTGCTTCTGGGCCGTTTGTTGCTGCTGACAAGCCCCTGGGTGCTGATTCGTGTAGGCACGCTCACGTCCAGGGCTGTGGCTCTGAGCTCCAGGCCCTGGCCAGCAATTCCCCTTCCCTTGGTCATTGTGTCCCCTGAATTAAGACCTCTTAGGAGCTCTCCAGGATGAACCCAAGGGCAGTCTCAGTGCTGGAAGAGGTGCAGCAGAAGCACACCAGTCACTGCAGAAAGGAACAGATGCCCCAAGTTGTGCATGGAGAGCCGTGGGCTGCAACTGTGGCAAGGACTGGGTGTTCCCGTGCAGGGGCCAGGGGTGGAGGGAACAGGGGTGCTAGGAGATGAGTCCTTAGAAGGTGGCAGAGAGAAGCCGTGGCAGTGGAGATGACAGATCTGTGTTCCTTGTTAGTACCATAATTTTATAGGTGGCAATTAAAAATAGCCTGAAAAACACAAAAGAGCATAAAGGAAAAATGCCACGGGTTAGGACACCTAATTTTGTTTTTAAATGTGCTGATTTTTTCCAGCTGCATGGTGTGAGGTATCTACTTTAGCTGAGCACCCAGACTTCTTCAAGGTCATCCCTGATATCTCAGAGGGTTCAGGGCCAAGACCTGCTGAGGTAGTTCCTTCCGCGGGCCGCTGCCTGTGAGTAGAGAGCCTCCTGTGGGTGTAAGGGGAGCCAGAGTGGAGTCTGACTCGGTCCTCCCACTGCAGGATTCCCGTGCTTCGTGCCCCTTTAATAAGAAGGGCGGGGACCGGCCTGGCTCCACCCCAAGCCTGCCCTTCCAGCCAGGTGCACAGGAGCCAGCACCTGGAGCGCAGGGGCTCAATGGGTTGTCTGTGTGGACCTTGCTCTCGGCCTGTGGAAGCACCCTCTTTCGTCCACCCATCCCCAGTGGAGCCCCAGGATCAGGGCTCTCCCGGCCTGCAGCTCCTCCCACTTCCCCTCCTGGCCCTTCCCCTGCCTTGCTGGAGCTTGGCACTGACTGCAAGCACATTCTAGAAGCCGAAATGGCTGCTGGCTGCCGAGGGCTCAGCAGGATCGTGGGGGCCTCCGCTGGCCCAGCTGGGAGCCGAGTTCCCTCCAGGGCTGGGGGAAACGTGAAGGCCGAGTACGATGCAGTGGTGATAGGAGCAGGTAAAGTGGAGGAGCCACTGCCTAGGGGGTCAAGCAGCCCCACCCCGAGGCCTGGGGGAGGGGTGTTCACGGAGCGTGGCTGCCTGCTCTGCCCTGGGCACTGCTCGGCCAGAAGTCTGGCTAAGGCGGGCACAGAAAGAAGACCCCCTGCCCTGGGAGTCAGGATCCTGCAGTTCTGGGGCCGGCTGTGCCCTGGGCCTGCTGGAAACACCCGCCCTCTCTGGTCTTAAGCCTTGCCGTCCCGTCCCGTATGAGGAGGAAGGAGCTTGGAGCTTCCCTGTGTCTCCTGAAAAACAAGCAAGATCAGAAAGATTGACCAGAATCGTAAAGACAAGGAAAAACTAGTCCTGAGCTCCGGAGATCCTGTCGCATCCCCACAGAGGGTGATGGCCCCGCTGCCTTCCCCCAGAAGCTTGGGGTCTGCCGCAGTGGTCCTGCAGCATTTTGCTGTCCCCTGAGTTAAAAGAACCAAGTTTGCAGGGTGACTGGACAAGGTGGCCCTGGGCCAGACCGCACTCGCCCGGCCTCCCACCCACCCTGAGAAGGCCATGTTTCCGAGGGGGCTTGTACAGAGCCAGTGCCGGGCTGAAAGAAGGTACAGTGGGAGTTAGCACAGCTTCAGGGTTCACGCTCTGGGTGGGCGTCCTCAGTCCCACGCGCACTAAGCACACGGAGCTGGTGCGTGTCCATTGGCGCGAAGGTCTGCAGCACTCGGGGTTTTTCTTCGAATTGTCTTTTCAGCATGGAGAATTGAACCCAGGGACTGTATACCACTGAGTGTAGCACACAGTTTATAAATCAGGCCTGTAATACTCTTAAATTCCAGGAAGCCTCTTGAATCTTTTTTCCCTGTGCTGGAGATTGAAGCCAAGGTCTCATGTCTGTTAGCGCTGCACTACCGAGCAACCCTTTTTGGTTTGAAGCAGGATCTTGCCGAGGATGACCTCGAGTGTGCAATCCTTGCGTCTCAGCCTCTTGAGTGGCTGGGATTACAGGCATGCACCATGGCAAGGGGTTACCAGGTGAGCCTTAACAGAATGCTGTCTTTCATTTTTACCAAATTCAAGTGGCCAGGCTGCTATTGCCATTCACCAACAGAGAGAGTTGCAAAAGGAATGCTTGATTTTTCATTTACTTGAGGGGAAGTGAAACATTTCTTCTTCAGTGATTACCATGACTTTGCTCAGTGAGAAAATATTTTCCTGGTACTGCAAGAATACTTTCTCCATTTTTGGTGCTGTTTATCTCCAGTTGAACAGCTCCAGACTCAAGAGGCTTGGTTAAATTTAACCTGTGTCACTCTCTTTTTTTTCTTTTTGGCAGAACCGAGGATTGAACTCAGGGCCTTGAGCTTGCCAGGGAAGCACTTATTCTACTGAGCCATCTCCCTGACCCCATGCGTCACTATCTGAAGCCTAACAGTCAACAGGACAGTAGATGCAGCCCTGATATGTGCCCTCACTGACATCTGTTAAACATTACCCCACGGCCTTGGCCTCTCGCTACTTCTGAGGCGGCTGCACATGATTCGGGAGAGAGGTGCATCAGCACATCCCTGTGTCCACCACTCGGGCACAGTGGCAGGTGTCTGGCCACAAGAGTATGGGCCATTGGCAAATGTAAAATAATTTAGAAACAGTGAATTTGGGGTAGTTATTATCTTCGATTTTAATATCATTTATTTGATGGGAAGCCTCTATAACTTATTTTTTAACAATGGCTATGATTGGCAACTAATCAATAGATTTCTGGGTGGTGGGCACAGTGGGCTCAGGAAGAGCAGCACTTCTGAGCCTCGGAGAAGCTCCCTGCCCCTTCCTCTGGGTCACAGCCCCGCCACTGGCTCCTGATGGACAGTGCGGACCCTGGAGCACCAGCGGCCTTGGGGATCACCCACACTTGTGAATGCGTCTAGTGCCAGAGTTTTCCCTTCACGTGGCTTCATTGGGTGGGAATGTACCTTGGAGCCTGACCTAATGACATTCAGGCCTGAGTGAGGACAGAGTGGCATCTTATGAGGTAGGCTTGTATCTGAGTCTCTGAAGTCATCAGTACCTGTCAACCTCTTCAAAGAGCCTCTGATCCCACCATTTGACCAAATGTGCTTAAGAAGGACCTGAGGAGCATGTTAAAATGCAGGTTCCCAGCCTTCGTCACAGGTGATGGGGGCTGTGCGTGTCTTCAGAACGTGTACCCTGCCAGTGCCATGACCCTGTGGCAGGCAGCTGTAGAACCTGTGCTGGGCTAGCACCTGTCAAGGTCCTGCTGCCTGCGGAGCGTGGGCGGCAACTCAGGACCCTCCAAAGCACAGGCAGCTCTGCTGGGATTTGGGAGCCTTCCTGAGCTGCTGGATCCTCAGCGTTTGCCGTGTGGTTCCCTTTGTGCGTCTGTGGGCTTACACACCATGACTGACCTGGAGACCCAGCTACCTGGAAGATGTTAGCTTTCCAAGACTGATAATCACTACTAATTAAAAGATTAATGGCTCCCATATTGATTGCAGGCCTGCTTTCCTAATATTACTGTCCAGTCCTCCTTACAACACTGCGAGGCCCTCAGCATCCTCTCTGTTCCAAGTACACTAGGGAGCGCGAGGCTCCTCACTGTTAAATACCTCTCTGAGGGCCGCACCAAGGTAAGCAGCATGAGCCCAGGGCCGTCTGCCTTGAACTGTGGCACGCCCAGAAGGAAGGGCTCAAGCTGCGAGTTCATGAGTCTACCTAGTATGGTTTTTTTTAACTTTTCATAGAAAAAAATTTCTGTACTTTTAAAGAAATATAACCAAATAGATTGTCACTTACTTACCACATGATGAAAATTAATGTTAGTTCATAAAACTTATTTCTATGAAATGCACTTGTGGGCTCTGTACCAGATTGTGGTGTAAGGTGCTTCTCCTATTCAGAGGGGTTTGAAAAACTCAGTTTCACAGATTTGATTGATGAGTGAGAAGTTGGCTGAGTGACCCCAAAATTCTGGGAGTCTCTATGTGAGAAATTTAAAACTGACCATGCTGTAAAAAGGTTTCATCATGGGCCGGCAAGATAGCCCAGTGGACTAAGTGGCTGCTTAGGCAAGCACAGGGATCAGTCCTCAGCACCACATGCCGCACTGGTCCTGCTCCCAGGCGTGCTGAGCTGGCCACTGAGACCTGGCATGATGGTGCACGCCTGCAATCCCAGCACTGGGGAGGCTGAAAACAGGAGGGTTACTGCAAGTCTGAGCTGTGTAGCAAGACCCTGAACCAAATGCATAATAAACGTTTCAGCGCATGGGCCACTGGCACTCCCTTGTTTATGAATATCTGTCCTATTAACAGGCATTTAATTAGCATCAACATTGGTCCATGCTCTGAAGTCAAGGCCATCTACTGATGAAATTAAAGAAAGACTCTGGTCACCTATCACCAAGGACACAAAGAACCTACCCACAGGCTGGCTGGCAGCCACTGGGGCCTCATCTCTGCCCACAAGTGATTCTCCACTACCCACTGCTTTTTCTCCTAAGTAAGGGAAGGGAGAGCCTAGCTCAGCTCAGCCTGCATCGGGGAGCAGGAGTGAGCAGGAAGCATGTACACGCCAGGCTATCAGGGGCCAGCCAGGAAGGGGGGCTGGGAGCTGACATTTACCACACTTCCCATATGGCTTTGAACTTGTCAGGGGTGGAGAGGCACTCGCTATGGATGGCTTACTGTGGAGCACAGGACCCCCAAAGCTAGAGACAGCCTTCCTTATATTTTTAGAAAAAAACTATATGACAGAAAACTAGCTGATCAGCTTGCCCCCTTAAGCACACCTCTTCATGGCATTTTGGAGCACTGAAGACTGGGGGAGACTTCTGTGTGGGAAAGCCCTCCTCGGCCCTTTGTACGCCACACTTGGACGAAACAAAGAGCACAGCAGCAGCTCCCCATCCAGGCAGCACCGCCTGGACAGCTGTGCGCACGGGCCCTTCCCCTGGATGCAGCCTGTGATGCCCCTTCTGACAGCCACTGGCTCCTCCTCTAGTGATGGAAGCCCACGTGATCATGGGCTTCTCCTTACCTCTCACTCCAGCATAGAGCTAAAGGTCAAGCCAGCACAAGAACTGAGTTTTCTGACTCCTCCTAAATTGGCTGTGTTCCCTTCCGCATGAAGGGTGGAAAGAATCACCAATGCTTTTCTTGGACTGGGGCAGGGACGTGTGAGCCCGCTCTGCTAAGGACTGTGTGTGTCTGTCCACTGACCAGTGACGTTCTCCCCTTCTCTCCCTTCTCGTTGCAGGACACAATGGGCTGGTGGCTGTGAGTACTTTCCTCTTGGTCCCATGTCACTGGCCTAGGAGACTGTGACTCAGCACTGAGGCGCAGCATGAGGAAGCTGGCAGGCAGGATTGAGGCCCAAGACAGCTGTCAGTGTTCCCAGTGCCCAGCAAGGGCTGGCCCAGTGCGCATCTAGGGCCAGCTAGAGAGTTGTCACGGTTCTGTCCTGTCCTGTCCTCAGGCACATGGTCCCCGTGTCCTGTGTGAGGACTGAGAGCACTGAGAGGTGTGCCAGTTAAAAGTGGGACGGTGCATGCCCGTGACTGGCCCAGAGGAAGCAGGCGAGCCTGAGCATCAGAATTGGGTGGGCTGTGACTACAGGCTAGGGACAGTCCTTGTGGAGAGGGACAGAGCTCTCCCCAACAAGGCCTAAGTGATGTACCCTCCGAGCACCCAGCTGCTGTGTGTCTGAAGTGTGCCCTGGCACGGTGAGGACTCCCACCTCACAGAGGGGCCAGGGACCCTGTGCCCAGCACAGCTGGTTTCCAGACCCATGCTAGCTGGGCCAGAGTCACCCCCAAGTTGTACTCTCCCTGAGTCCATGCCCCTTGAAGAGGCCACTGAGGATCTTACAGCCACAGAACAAATGCAGACCATCGTCCGAAAGCATCCGAATCTAGTGGCGGCTAGAGTATGCAGATAGGGGAATTGGGGGACCAACGCAAGGTGTAGGGGACACCTGCTAACCCTTAATACCTTGCCTGGTGTGTCAATTGTAGTTGAGCATTCGTCAGTAATGTTACCACTGGCTTGTGTCCCACCTTTGCCACTTTCTGTCTGCACAGGTTAAAGGTGGGGAAGACAGCCTTTCCGAGCCACAGTAAAATGGGAATAGTGGCTGCCGCCTCACAGAGATGCTGTGAAGGTGACAGTAAGCAGCACAGGCCTGGCTGGTACATCAAGCGTGGCACAAGTGGCAGCTCTTCATGGACTTGTCCCACTCAGGGAAGGCTAATGTCAATGCCTGTCCTCCAGAGGGACCAGGTCACAGCTGGTTGCCCAAGTTGAGTTGGTCACTCTTTGCAGCAGAGGAGATGTATGCCAGGGGCGTGTCTTCTCAGAGCCCAGGACAGGATTTGAGCTGTGGCTGGATAGCTTGGGGAAGGCCCGAGAAGTTGGGGCTCTTCTCCAAATTGAGCACTGTCGGAAACTGAGAACGGGGGCCGGCAAGCTAGCTCAGCAGGCATATTGCCTGGCAAGCACAGGGTCCTGAGTTCAGTCCCGGGTACAAAAATAACCCCCAAAATACAGTGAATCTTTGGGAATCTCTGTCAATCTCATCAAGACCTCACTGGATAAGGACATCTGTAACTGGTGAAGGGTTAGCAGGCTTTCATTTTGGTTGAGAGAGGAAGTATTTGGTATCCTGAGGATGGCATAGAACCCTTGATTTTGTCTGGGTTTAGTCACAGCCGCAGTGGGCTTGCTACATCTCATCATGGTCCCAGAGTAGCATCATTTAAGACTGTCATTCTGTGAGATAGCTTATCTCTAATAGGACAGTGTGCTCCCACCTGCACGCCAGCTCAGTTTCCAGGAATCAGAGACTGAGGTTGGTTGTTCTCAGTGGGATGTGCGAAGGTTATAGATCCTGCCTTCTAAGGGTCTGGGCTCACTTCCCAGCACCTCCCCTCCTCTGCTGTGGGAGCCTGAGGCAAGTCATTAGCCCCATTTGGCCTCAGTTTCCGCACCTGTGAAATGGGGAGAGGCACAGTGCCCACCTCTAGCATGGTGGAGTGGATTCAGTGAGCTACACTGACAGTGCCTGGAATATGGTGGCTGCCAGGTGAGCTTTTTTAGAAGCCTGACTTCTGCATGCACTTCACTCCCTTTTTTGTCACACTGGTTTTAATGGTCGTGGGGAGGCTAGTACCAATCACAGGACTGCATGTCCAGGATGAGCTCGGCTGACTTATTTTCCACTAAGGGCTGGAGACACTTAGCAGAAGCCCCTGCGCCATTGCTGCCCCCAGAATAAAGTTCTGCTGTGGCCTCAGCTTCACTCAGCTCGTGTGCCTGCTAGGAGCGAGCGCAGGTAATCCTCACAGCAGCCCTAAGAAGTAGGTACGTTCAGCACCGTTTCTGCTGACCCGTCCACACGAGGAAACTGAGGCCAGCTAGATCAGTACTAGAGCTGCCTCAGCAGAAGGACAACGGGGAGTTGAACCCCTGCAGTCTGGCTCTGCCTGCCAAAGTGCAGCCTCCACGCTGCCTCTTGCTGTGCTTCTGGGAAGGAAAGAGGCTTGCTTCCTCCTGGGGGAGCGGGTTGCTGCAGGGTGGGCGGGGTGCTGTGTACACGCCCAAGGCACCTCAGCCTCTGAGGAGTTACCTTCAGCTGGGACACAGAGGGGAGCAGGCAGGCGCAGCGCCAACCAAAGGGGGCAACGCTGAGACCAGTGGTCAGCCCCAACGGTCCCTGCAATCCAGAGGGATCAGGGGAGAACCCTGTGTGCTCCCAGGCGGCGTACCTACAGAGACTGGGGGTGAACACGGCGGTGTTTGAGAGGCGCCATGTGATTGGGGGTGCTGCTGTCACTGAAGAAATCATCCCAGGTGAGCCCTGAGAAGCAGGGGTGGGGGGTGGGAGGGTGACCCTGAGCAACTCATTCTCCTTTTGGTTTTAGGGTTTAAGTTCTCCCGAGCATCCTACCTCCTCAGCCTGCTGAGGCCGCAGATTTACAGCGACCTGGAGCTAAAGGTAGAGCAGCCCCTGGGACTGACAGCAGTTCCACCTTCTCTACCCAGGCAGGGCGGAGGGCTGCTTTTCCTGTACCTCAGGTGACTCCCCACACCTGAGGGCTGTCTTCTAGCCCAGAACTTCCTGTCTCACAGTCTCCTGCTGAATCTCACAGATCAATATTCTCTAGCCCACCAGTGTCTTTAAAAATGGGAAATTTTCACATAGAAGTCTTTTGGAGAGGTTTGTTTGTTTGTTTGTTTGTTTGTTTTTTGGTCAACACGAGGTGCTTGTTTTACATGAAGGCATTTAGCAGCGCCTTAAGCAGGCAGGCCCCTTCCTTGGCCCTGACCCTGTCATTCCCTGGAGTCTTACTTGACTCTAGTAGGACAGCCGCCTAGAGCCTGTGTGCCAGATTCTGCAAAGCTGCCTTAGACTCAAGCCCTGTTTCTGCCCCCATTACACTTGGAGCCTGTTGCCACTCTTGGCAGTGTGACCAGGACTTGCACCCTTCTTAGCCCTCTCCAGCTGCCCCTTGCTAGATTACTCAGCCTGCTCAACTCTGCCCATCGATTGCCCTCCTTGCCCCTCCCTGACCCCCACAGGCCTCCTCCCCTCCCCCTCCATTAACTTCACCACCACCTCACAAGGGGCTGCCCTGATTGTTTGTGGCTCTTTGGCTTCTCTAGTTGGTTCCTATAGAGGAGTTCTGGGACTTAGGTAACTACAGAAGCCAGGGATAAGAAATTATTGAGGAAGAGAAAGTACTCTGGTAGAACCGGGTACTGAATACAACCTAAGACCTAGGATTGGCCTGGCGTCTCCAGCTCACACCACCCTATAGCTAAGGGTAATTTGTGAATGTACCAGTTATTTATGTTCTCAGATGTTGGGGGCCAGAGGTGATCTCTGTCCCTTCCTTCTCCTACTGATCTTCCAGGTTTCAGCCATATTCCTTCTAGTCCTGTGTTACTGTAGAAACAAACTCTAACCAGGTTGGTAAGAAGGAGCTAGAGACGGGTAGAGAAGTGGACATTTCCAAATATTCTTGCTCAGAAGTCTGACTCTGTAGAAGCAGTGGGGTGCAGGAACCAGCATTTTACAACCTCCCCGGGTCATTCTGAAAGAGGACAGCCCCAGTCACAGCTGAAAACTCCACCTTTTAAGTCTCTGTGTTATTTGGTCTCTTGGTCTCTGATCTACCTTTTGCAAGAAGTTCCACCTGGGATGACTAGGAATGCTGAAGGTGACACAGGTAACCAGAGAATGGGTTCTGGTTTTGTTTTTTAAGAAAACATCATGCTCCAAACAAATCTCGTGGAGGTCATCAAAGGCAATTTAAATGCCCTTCTGACTCCATCTGATTAAAGCCTTTAGGAATGACAGAGTCACCGTTTTGAAGAGAAAGCCTAGAATCAGTCAAAAATGACTCATATTCAATTAGTTATGAAATAATAATTGAAATAGTTTCTGGGTTCCATATGAGGAAGGTTTGTTGTGTTGTCTAGTTAACATTCCTCAGCACTTGCTCTTCCGGGCTCTGGGAGAGGCCCTTGGGATGCAGGGGTGAACTCTGAGGTAGTAACAGAACTTCGGGTAGGGTAGGTGACAGAAAGAAAAGAAAAGAAGCAATGTGGTGGGAAAGTGTGGAGGGCCAGCCTATACTGGGGACCTGGAAGTCCTTCCTCAGGGGGTGGTGGGCGAGCTGGCTGGCGCAGTGCAGCATCTGAACAGAGTTTCAGCCAGAGGGAAGTGGACAGGCTGTGGCAGGCATGAGCAGAAGTTAGGCCAGTGTGCCAAAGCAGACGAGTGACAGGAACAGGGGCAGTGGACGTAAGGACGGGCAGAGGACAGCTCAGATTGCACCTTGCAAGCTATGGTGAGTGGCCTGCATTTTATTCGTGTGCAGTCGGAAGCCAGCCAAGGTCTTTAATCAGAAAGTGGAATATGGGATTTGTGACTTTATAAAAGATCAGTCCATCTGGATGGTAATGAAGGTGTGGGGGCCTGCAGGTAGATCCATAAGACAGCTGCCGCAGTGCCCCACGGGATGGCAGCTTGACCCAAGGCAGCACACAGAAAGCAGTGGACTGTGTGTGCAGTAGGGGCTGACAAGGACGGCTCTGGTTGGGATGGCAGAGGGAGAGAGAGGAACCAAGATGCTCCTGGGGTTTAAGAGGTGGTTATATTAAGGAAGCCAAGCTGGAAGATCCTCTAACTTAGAGTCCGATTTCTGTGTTAATGTTAGAAAGGACATGAAGTTCTCCCACTCTGGCTCCATCCTCTGTTCCGAATGTCCTCCACAAAATGCTCAGAGCTGTCCATCTTGCCTGTCTGGAGCATCTCTGGTCTGGACAGTTCCAGCTGTACTCATAGGAAAAGGGTTATTGTGGTCTCTGTCACCCTCATGCAGGTCTTGTTTCTGTCCCTTGGGGGCACTCCTGCCTGCAGTGTGGCCTTCACCTCTCTAGTCAGCAGAATGCTGGTTGACGCCCTGAATCTCCACATGGGGGGTGCAACAGTGAGCAAAACAGACAGCGCCCCTCACCTCATAGACCTTCTCTTCTCCTCAGGAAAATGACGAAACACGTATATAGTTAGCCATGTGATGACAAGGGCTTTGGAAAACAGTAACGCAGGGTGAGGGGACAGGAAGTGCTGGTGTGGTCAGGGGAGGCCTGCTAATAAAGGACAGTTGGGCAGAAACCTTGAAGAAGTGCAGGCCCACATTGCAGGCAGGGAAAGGAAGTCTCTAGACAGTGGCCGGCATAAGGTGCACTTCGGTTAGCAGTCTGGGTCCCTTTTGTTGTGTCGTATGTCCCTGTAGAGAAGCAAAGGTGCTCTGGCAAAGTTCCATGTGCAGGTCAAGCATCTGAAAACCTAATCATATTTTAAGTACTTCCAAGGAACTTCTATTTAAAGTGACCCTGGAATAAATCAGTCTTCAAAATAAATAAAATTTTTGATGTAAATAATATATCTACATTCGATATATAGATTTTCACATAATCATTGTTTTATATATCTAAGTTTTAATTATTTATTTCTGAAGTGGGGCGGTTATAGATTATTTCTAGATCCAGGGCTGGGAGTCACAGCAGTGTGGTTGTGAAACTTAGATCCACCTGCTACAGTGTTCTGGGACCAGTTATTTAACGTCTCTGAATTCCCAACACAGTACTTGCACAAAAAGGGTAACAGTACCTATATAGATGAGATGCTGTGAGGTGCTTGTAAACCGTGGTACAGTCTGTGGCACAGGAAAAGCATGACGTGGCATGGTGTGGCATGGTGTGGTCTGTCACTGAGTGCCTTGGCAAGAGGACTTTTTATAAACATATTTTAAAAAAGAAGAGCCAGGACCCCATACCTTGGGAATAGCTACCCAACTGGTCACACAGACACGATCAGAGAAAGGTCAACAGCAGACTCTATAAATCCCTAAAATGCTGCCTGTATTTTCTGTGTTTTGCAGAAACATGGGCTGCGGCTTCATCTTCGAGATCCCCACTCCTTCACCCCCGTGATGGAAGAGGGTGCAGGGAGCAAAGTGCCCAGGTCCCTTCTGCTGGGCAGAGACACGGCAGAGAATCAGAAACAGATCGCCCAGTTCTCACAGAAAGATGCCCAGGTAAGAGGAGTGACCAGAGACGAAGCTCCCCTCCCCATCAACTAGAGGAGGCTCTTGGAAGGGGCAGCCCAGCGGGACTTGTTCTAGAACACAGTGTCCAAAGGCCACGTGGGGGCTTGCGCAGGCTCCAGTCTGAACTAGCTTTTGATCTCAGGCCCTGTGGAGAGAAGAGATGGAGAGCAGTGATTAAGGCCCTCAAAGCTGCGCGTGCTCAGCATGGGCCCGCTGTCCAGATGGCCTCCGCGTGGTGCGCTTCCAAAGAGAACCCCCCAGTGTGTACGTTTACTGTGTGGGGCTTGGGTCGCCCCTGCTTTCAGACAGAATCCCGAGTGGTTATCCACATGAGAGCCCCAGAGGAAGGTTAAGGGAAGATGAGAGACAATGAAGGGTAAAATGAACTGGATTAGGAGCTTAAAATATTCATTCAATCTGACATCGATCCTCTGACACCCAAGACAAAGAAGTGTGCGTGATGATGTGCAGAACTGTGAAAGAATCTGTTGTCTCGGGTTGCAGTCTAGGAGTTGGTTGGGCAATGCTGTGCAGATGAGTCTGCATAATCCAGTGGACCTGGTGTGGTGGGCTTGGGGGTAGGGAACGATTCTTTGAATGGCCTGCTACAAGCTGTAGCATGAAATCAGGCCTTGATGGATATATTTTTATAAGAAGAATCTAGGTTAGTGTAGTCCCTGTAAATTGTCTTAGTTTATTAACTGAGTATTTGGTGAACCCCAGGGTGCCACGGACTTGCTGTGTGTATCTCTTCAACCAGAGGTTTCTAAACCTGGCTGCTGAGTTGGATTTTGCGGGCAGCTTCACTCTTCCCAGGTGCTTCTCATCTGACTGTTCTGCGCACTGGCCCGGGGACCATGGCCTTTACCACCCTCCAGCCCCTGCCTGTCACAGATGTCTTAGGCAGGAGTCAGCATAGCATGACTCTGGCCCTGCCTGTTAGTTGGGGGCTGGGTCTCATTTTCTATCGTGGAACATAAGGAGCCCTGTTTCTAGTTTTATCTTTGCAAGCGGTCATTTTAAAGGCTGGCTCTAGAGAAAACTATTCCACTTCTTTCTTAGCAAGACTTCTCAGTGTTCTGAGAAGCTCAAACCTTCCTTTATGTAGTGTGCTGTCATCCCATTGGGGCATTCATGAGTGCAGCTGGACCCATAATTGAAAGCGCTGGCGTGAGTCAGGCGGGCTTCCAGAGGCACGGGCCCCCCGTTCCTGCCCCATGACTGGTCTAGTGGAGGGAAGGTGGGCATCGGGAACCAGCTCAGGAGGAGGGGATGCAGACTTGTGCTTCCGGGGTCAGGGGGCAGTCTGTCAGACTGAGGGACGAGGAACGTCTGCACCCTGGAGTTCAAGGAGGGACTAACTTCTACCAGTCACATGTGGAAAGACGGAAAGACAAAGAGAAACCTTCCCACGCTCTTATCACAGCACCCACTCCCTCAGCTACTTGCCAGTTTTCTGTGGCCACTTTGGCCTACACACACCCTTTCTCAGGTAGCCCAGGTCTCTGTGGCTTCCCCCACACCCTCTTCCTGGTGCTGGTGTCAACATGGATGTGGAGGTACAAGGCCTCAGCAGGACCAGGCCAAGCTACACAGGAGAGATGAAGCCCTAGGAGCCATCAGGGCTCTGCGGTAGAGCGCGGTGGCTGTGAGGGAGGGCAGGACACAGAGCTGCTGGCTTTGTGGGCTTTGGGACACGGGAGCCTTGAGCTAGAGCTCTGTTCCAGGTCTTTCCAAGATATGAGGAGTTCATGAGCCGCTTGGTTCTGGCCATTGACCCTCTGCTGGACGCAGCCCCTGTGGACATGGAGGCCTTCCAGCACCACTCCCTGCTGCAGAGGCTGAAGGCACTGTCCACCCTCAAGCCTCTGCTAAAGGCAGGTGAGTCCATCAGGACGTGAGTAGTGGCTTTCGTGGCTGTGGGGGTCTGTTTTCTTGGTACTTGGACACAAATCTGAACCTCCAGGCAGCTGCCACTCATGCCCATGTCGCAGACGGTGTCCTGAGTGCCCCTGGAGCCCACACTGCATCAAGGTCTCAGGCTGGTGTGGATGGAACCCAGCCTGGACAGAGGGTGCCTCAGTGTCACAGAAATGGGCTCCCCCCAGGCAGCGCACCTTACAGAGTTCAAAGTACGGGAATAACGTACGCGTTAACATTTTTCTAAAGGTATTCTAATATGCCTCCATGCCTATGGGCTGGCAAACGTCTGCACATGCCACTTAATCCTCGCAGTACCCCTTATGAGATGCAACTCCCATTTTACAGATGAAGAAACTCATTTAGAGACATTAAGAGGAGGTCCGAGGCCATGCATCTGGAAAGATGGGGAAGAGATCTGGCACGTCCACCATGCTGCCCTGCCTCCCACCCCACCGCTCTCTGATCCCTAGGCCCAGGCCAGAGTGTTTCCTCTCAGCCTGACTTACTTGCTGTCCTGTGGGTTTTGTGTTCCAGGCCGCATCCTCGGGGCCCAGCTTCCCCAGTACTACCAGGTCCTCACAGCTCCCATTACCAAGGTCAGTGCCTGCCAGCCTCCGCCTGACCTGCGGCCGGCACCTCCCCTGCCAGGCAGGTCCCTGAGGCCTTCCTGCAACTTTGCTGCCCAGGTGCTGGACCAGTGGTTCGAATCTGAGCCTCTGAAAGCTACTCTGGCAACAGATGCTGTGATTGGAGCCATGACAAGTCCCTACACTCCAGGGAGTGGGTGAGTGAAGGCCAGCAGGAGCCGGGCAGGTTCCCCAGGCAGGACAAGGGCAGGAGCAACAGCGACTGGCATTCACTGAGCTCACTCTGAGCCAGACACTGCCCTTGAGCACGTGTGCATGGCGATGAAAAGGCGAAAGGCTTGAGCTCATTTCAAGGCTCATGAAAAGGGCTGGGTGGGGGGACAGAGAGAGGCTCAAGGGGCCAGATGAGAGCAATGTTGGGACCCGGAACTTGGGACGTGGAATCTCACTTCCAGCACCTGGTTTTGTGCTCTATGCTTAGATATGTGCTGCTGCACCATGTGATGGGGTGCCTGGAGGGACAGCAGGGGGCCTGGGGCTACGTCCAGGGTGGCATGGGTGCCCTCTCTGATGCCATTGCAAGCTCAGCCGCTGTACATGGAACAAGTATTTTCACTGAAAAGGTGAGCTCCTCTCCCTCCCTGGTGATTGACAAGGCTGCAGAAAGTCTGGAGTGGGGAAGGTCCCTTGTTCTCCTGATGGAAATGGTGGGGCTTAAAACCCAGGCCCTATTCGGCTGGTGGACCCTGCAGCAGCAGAGCGATGGTCAGGGATGTCCCAGATTTTCTGACCAGTCACTAAGTCACACTGGGGCTGGTGCTTCCTGGTGGGGAGCATCGAGACTCACCCCAGAGGTTACCAAGTTTGGAGGGCTGGGTTGGGAGGAGGAAGCGTGAATGCCTGGGTGCAGCACAAAAGTGGGGGTCTGACCAGAGCCAACCTGAGTCTTCCTTCCTGGGGCTTCGGGGGCCTGTTGCTGGTGGGCTTCAGACAGTGGCCAAGGTGCAAGTGAACAGGGAAGGCCGCGTTCAAGGTGTGGTGCTGCAGGACGGCCAGGAGGTGAAGAGCAGAGTGGTGCTGTCCAGTGCATCCCCTCAGGTCACCTTCCTGACACTGACACCACAGGTGAGCCAAGCGTGGAGGGGCCGGAACACAGGGCACCCAGGGAGCCAGGTCTGCACGAGGGTGGACGAGAGAATGCCATCTCCTTGAGGGAAGGAAGCAGGTAATAGGCAGGTGACAAATGGGAGAAGCTGCATAGGTAAGGGGGACGGTGCAGGGAGGTGAAGTGACCCAGGCCGTGCAGCTGGCGGTCGCTTGCTGAGCCAGCACTGGAATCCATGTCTGACTTTCTATCTACTGTCCTGATTTCTGTTCACTCACTGTTAATTCCACTGCCTGTGTCCAAGATCTGTCGCCATATTGATGTTGCAGAACAACCAAACACAAAGCTTCTGGGCAGATAAGAAGAAATCGTAGCTGGCAGGCATGGAGAATTCAGTAGATCTTGGCTGAGTTTCAGTGGTCTGGGCTTGCTCGGGTACCTACAGTAAGCTGTGGCGCCGCAACCGGCTCTGCTGTGCTTCCTTGTGTGCCCGGGGATCGGCTGGCCCAGGCTAGCTCAGGACAGTGCAGGCGCGACCAAGGCAATCTGACTCTTCTACACATGTCCCTCAGCCTATTGGCTCCATGGTCCAGGCCTGTTCTGAGGCCTGGCACAGAAGCCATCAAGTTCAGTCACACGAAACACGTATTTATTCCTCTGTTTGTATCTTATTTTCTGACATTGGCCAAAGCAAGTTTCATAGCTAAACCCATAGTCAGAGTGAGAAGCACTCCAAAGTTATAGGGACAAAGGACATTCACATAGGGAGGGCTGAGAAAATGGCACAGTTGTTGCAATGGGCCACACTCTCTGTCCCCAGAAGATCGTGTGTGTGAGCACGCTGGGGACTCCTTGGGGCAACAGCACTCTTTCTGAACGTTTCCACTAACAAGAGTTAACAAACATCAGTGCAGGGCATCTGTGAAGTTAAGCAAGTAGATGTCAGGGCTTCCAGAGCTTATAGTCTAGAAGAGAAAAGCAGCAAAAGCGAGAGGCTGCTGACAGAGCTCAGGGGATGAAGTGGTCAGCTGAAGGGGAGGCCCTGGGCTGGCTTCACAGGGGAGGTGGCCTGGCTAGTTCCGGTGGACGATGAGCTTTCCACAGAGTTTGAGGGACTGACCTGAGCAGAGAAAGGAGGTAGCTTCCCTTGGGGCCTTGGCCATGCTTGGGGGTTCCCAGAGACTCCTCCCTGCAGGAGTGGCTTCCAGAGGCATTCACGGAGAGGATCTCACAGCTGGATACCCAGTCCCCTGTTACCAAGATCAATGGTAAGAACACCTGGCTGCAGAACCGAGTCTTTTGACACTGTCTGAGTGGGAAGTCTTCATGTACAGGAAAGCCCAAGCACACCACCCCCACCTGCTGGCCCCCAGCCTGCCCACCCCCGCCCCCGCGGGAAGGTGAAACACTTCTTTACACGTTCAGACTTCTGGTCCACCTGTGAGTGAGCAAGGTGATGACTGTGGAGTGAGAGCCCTGCACAGCCGGGGACCTGACCCTCCTCTTTGGTCCCTCAGTGGCTGTGGACAAGCTGCCCAACTTCCTGGCAGCCCCTAATTCTCCCGGAGGCCAGCCGCTTCCCCATCACCAGACCTCCATCCACCTGAACTGCGAAAACACCCACCTCCTCCATCAGGCCTTTGAAGATGCCAAAGGTGGCCTGCCTTCCCGCAGGTCAGTGTGCTCAGGACTAACGTCCCCTGGAGGTTCTGACATGGGCCTGGGTGGACAGTGGCTGCCCAGACACAGCAGGGACTCTTCAGCTTGGAAATGCGCCTCTCTGATGACCTAGGATCTGCCTCATTCCATACCTGGAATCTAAGACCAGGAAGTGTATCCCGGGTAAGCAGTCTGTGGAACAGGGAGCAAGACCCGTCAGGGGTTGTTACAAGCAGCAGAAGAGCAAGCCCTACAGCTGACAGTGCTGGAGCTGGGAAGAAGAGAAAATGCTTTCTAGGAGAAAAACAGGCTCTCTGCTGCAGAGGCCTCACAAGAACACTTTCTGCCCCTAGTGGGCACCCTCTGCTACGCCATATAAGCTACCTTTGCACAAAGTTTCTGAAAGCATTCCCGCATTTGCCACAGCTGTGTCTGCCCTTCCAGGCAGACAGCGACACTATGAGCCCCACACCTTTCCATCCTGTCCAGCAGCCAACAGATAGAAGGCCTAGTCATAGCAGGCTCTGTACTGGGTATAGGTCAGAGGCATAAAAGAGAAAAAAGCTAATGACCCGCCAGGCACAGATACTTGTATTTTATGGTAAGGAACATGTGGCCCTAGGGAAGGATGCGAAGCACTGGGAACATCCCTTGGTAAGTGTTTGGGGATCCCCACCCTGCGCCAGGTAAAGAGGACAGCAAAGGCTCAGTTTCTGAGCTTGCACGAAGAGAAGGTGGTCCACAGGGGTGTATCAGTGATAAACACAATGGAGAAGATCAGGCTGGAAGGGGAGGCCGTGCTGGGAACGAGGCCCGAGCAGCAGCCTCTCTGACACCGTGACTTCTGAGCAGAGAACAGAGAGGACGGCGTACAGGTCTTGATGGACTTGAGGGAGGAACATTCAGGGAGAAGGAAGGCCAGATGCAAAGCTGGTGCCATGTGGCTGTGGGGAGGCAGAGGGGTGAGGACGCAGTGCTGGGAGAAGCAGCCGGAGCAGCTCGTGCCCTCGGGTCTCTGCTCTGGGCGCCTCCAGGAGAGTTCCACAGAGCTTGGCCTGCCCTTTAGAAAGACCACCCTGGCTGCTGCGTGGACAAGAGGGAGGGGCATCTGCGGCAGTTGGTTACTGATGCCGAAGCCAAGGGAGGAAGAGGACGGTGGCTGGGACCAGAAGGGGAGCAGGCAGTGGAGGGATGGGAGGTAGCCAGATACCGGCTGTAGGCGAAGGTAAAGCTGACGAGACTTGCTGATGGGCAGGAGCTAGGTGCATGGAAAATCACCACTGTGGCCTCACAGTGACACGTGGCCCAGCGTGGGTGTTGACCCAGAGCTGTTACTGTGTCTGCTCCCAGCCCTGGTTCTCAGACCAGCCCTTTCCCTTTCCCATGCACTGCAGGCCTATGATTGAGCTCTGTATCCCGTCCTCGCTGGACCCCACACTGGCTCCTCCTGGCTGCCACGTGATCTCCCTCTTCACCCAGTACACTCCCTACACACTGGCGGGAGGCAAGGACTGGGATGAGCAAGAGCGGAATGCTTACGCAGACAAAGGTAAAGGGAGCCACACAGCTGCCACATGCCCCTAGGGGAGCCTGCCCTCCTGATTGCCTCTTCCAGGGTGAATACCTACATGTGCTGTCCCAAGGGCTGTCATGTGGATGAATTTCTACTGGGGTCAGGCGCTGGGCTAAGAAAGCCAAAAGAACAAGTTGCTCTCAGGTGACACAGAGTGTGGTCAGGGACACCAACTAGTCACCACAGTACTGTGTTTTACTGAACCAAAGGGGGGAGCAGGTGAGCCAGAGAAAGAAGGAAAGTTTTCAAAGGTAGGGACATTTGACCTGGATTTTAAAGGATGAATAGGAGTTGGCCAGGAAGTGAAGCACATTCCAAGCACAAAGAAGCAGCTTAAGCAAAGGAATGAGATGAAAAACATTTTGCATTTTCCAAACACAAACAGTTTTGTGTTTAGGTTTGTGGTAAGGAGATGAGAAAAGGAATTTGTGATGACGTGTTTTTGCCTGTGGACTAGTTTTGTTTGTTTTTTACTTATTGTTGTATAATGTGCCTTTCAAAAACTCTTTGAGGCATGTAGTTTAGTGAACTTTAGTAAATTTACCTGGTTGTGCAAGCATAACACCTGCTTCTCTTTTTCCCAATACCATCTTGTCCCTGCCGTTGGACACGCAGTCTTTGACTGCATCGAGGCCTACGCCCCTGGCTTCAAGGGCTCTGTGGTGGGCAGAGACATCCTCACACCGCCAGACTTGGAGAGAGTCTTCGGGCTTCCTGGAGGGGTGAGTAGGAGCCTGAGGTCTCGAATCACGCTTGCCCTCCCTCCCCTTCCTGGCTCTGCCCTTGCAGCTCTGCCTGGCTCTCACTTAGAAGGGAGAATGGTGGCAGAGACCATGGTGGAGAGGGGACAGAGTGGCGACCAGAGCTGAGGAGCAGGAGGATGAGCCATAGAGACACAGGGACCATGTGAGATGATCCCCAGGACTGCGACCCCTCTGCCTATCACCGAGGGCAGCCTCTTTCCCATGACTTCCATCAGAAGGCATCCTCCTTGAGGAGCCAGGTCCTTGCTGCTCTTCAGTTGTAAGATTAAATCTATAGTTGCTGTTATAACCAGAAGTAATTCATACAGAACCAGAAGAGGCCGGAATAGCAAACTCAGTTTGGGGTAACAAGAGCCAAGCAGAGAGCTGTAGTACACCTGCTTCAGGCTGTACTATCAAGCAACAGTGATAAAAAAAAAAAATGGCATGGTACTAGAATAAAAGCAGATGCAGGGATCAGCGGAGCAGACCTGGGGTAGAGCATTTCCCCAGATACAGTCAGATGTTTGACCTTTGACAGAGGGGCCGAAGGCATATGGTAGAGAAAGGATGGCCTGTTCAACAAGTGATCCTGAGAAAACTGGTCATCTATGCGCAGAAGATTGAAACTAGACCCTTATCTCTCAACATACACTAAATTAAAATCAAAGTGGATGAAAGATTTAAACATTAAAACAGAAACACTAAACGCCCTAGAAAATAAAATAGCTGGAGCACTTGGAGACATAGGTGTTGGAAAGGACTTTTAAACAGAACTTCAGTTACTTAAGAAACAACTACAAGAATCAGCAAGTGATATTATATCAGACCAAAAAGCTTCTGTCCAGCAAAAGAGTAAATCTGTAAAGAGACACCCTACAGAATGGGCAAAAAGTGGGCTAGCTTTCCTTAAACAGAGCCCTAATACCTAACGTATGCAAAGAACTCAAGAAATTAACACCAAAAGTTAAGATCCAGTCAAGAAATGAGCAGGAAAAATGAACAGACACGTCACAGAGGAAGAAATGCAAATGGGAGTAAGTGTACAAAAAACTGTCAACATCTCTGGCCATTAAAACAATGCAAAGTAGAACAATGCTAAGATTTCATCTTACTCCGGAAAGAATGGTAGTAATTAAGAAATCAGACAATAACAACTGCTGGCAAGGCTATGGTGAAAAAAGAACCTTCTTTCATTGTTGGTGGGAATATAAACCAGTACAGTCAGTCTGGAGACTTTCAAACAACTGAAATTAGCAGTTCCATATGACCCGGTGATCCCCCTGCTGTATATCCTCCTCAGAAGCTTAAGACACGATCCTGAAGTGATCCGTGCATACCAATGCTTATAGCAGCACGACTTGCAAGTGCTGAATCCCGGAAGCAGCCTGTCTATCCATATCCATCCCCAGGTGACTGGCTAAAAGTAATGTATTTCTACATAATGGAATACTACTCTGCTATAAAGAATGAGAGATTTGAGACACTGTGTGCTTCTGGAAAATATAATGTTGAGTGAAATCAGCCAGACACGCAAACTTGAAGGCCACATGGCATCTCTCATTTGAGTGAGGCAAAGTACAAGGAGAATAAAGGATGAAGAGGAGACAAGAAGATCAACCTCTTGTAAGGGGGAACTCGTCCTCTTGTAACAGGGGAGCAGATCTAGACCTCTTGTATTAGGGAAGGGGAGGTATAAAGATATGCCGTGTAGAGGGACCTAATAGCCTCAATTCATACGAACATATACCATAAGATGAGTTAAGATTAATAATATCAACGAGATTGAAAAACGGGATGGGGAACTGAAGGAGAGAGGAGAGAGGGAGAGGAAAGGGAAAAAGGATTTTTTTTTAAAAAAAGACAAGCTATCATATGTGCATATAATCATTCCCCAAGATGATTTTAAACTGCCTGAGCTATAAACCTGTACTCATAAAATTAAAAATTAAAAATAACCAGGGTAGTAAAAGGTTGTAGTGCTCCAGTGTTAACAGCCCCAGCCCTGTCTCCACAGAACATATTCCACGGTGCAATGTCCCTGGACCAGCTCTATTTCGCCCGCCCCATGCCACTGCACTCTGGGTACCGCTCCCCTCTCTGGGGCCTGTATCTGTGTGGCAGCGGGGCCCATCCTGGTAAGTGACCCACAGCTCCACTTCCCTATGTGGGCTGTGAGGACTCGTGGCAGGGCAGGGGCTTGCAGACAGAAGAGACAGATGTGCAGTGGGGGAGGGAGAAGGAGCTAGAGCCCCTGCCCTAACAAGCCACTGTGGTCCAGAGCCCTTGCAGCTCCGCAGTGACTGGCCAGTCAGCCACAGCCCTCAGGTCTGATCACAGCCCTCAGGTTTGGGGTTTGTCTCCAGGGAAGTGTCTTTCCCCATTCCAGTTATGGACTGTGGGAGACCTACATGCTTAAATCTCTCACCCATATTTGAGACCAGAAAAATCAGTATAGGTAGGTTTTTCAAGTTCTTTCCTGTCAGGAGCCAAGTCTCCCCAGAGGCTGCCATTTCTTGGGACTTTATCTGAGCTGTGTGGGGCTCAGCCTCCCAGGGTAGGCTGTGCATCCCCATCTTTCCAGATCATTTCCCCATTGTCTCCCCGCACAGCATGTGGCCTCAGCCCCAGCCCAAGCCCTCCCCACTGTGCTGCAGGACCCAGGAGGAGCCCAGAGTCTCCAGGCAGTGGTCCCAGTTGTTGCTGATTCTCTGTCCCATGCCCCGTCCCCTCCCTGGTGGGTTTCTGAGCAAAGCTATGGTTGCAGGAGGAGGAGTCATGGGAGCTGCTGGAAGAAATGCAGCCCACGTGGTCTATAAGGACCTTAAGAGCATGTGACACTGACTCAACCCCAGCCCAGGAGGAAGAACTCACCACTGCCAACAATTGGCTCAGCTGCCCAGGAAGCTCTGCTCCAAAGGCCACTGCTCTGGGCAGCCAAGTCTACAAAATTCAGCTAGTATTTTAGAAGAACATGCAAGTTCCACCTCACACAGTCACCTGTGCCCTGTGCCCCTGTGAATGAATTGACTGGGTTTTATTAAAAACTACTTCAGACATACAGTTTGCCGTGTGTGTGTGTGTGTGTGTGTGTGTGTGTGTGTGTGTGTGTGATGTAGCTATAGGACTGTGTCCTACAGGTAGGATGCGCTTATTTGGGGGTAATCACTGTGCTCACGGATTGGCTTGAAACATTGCACTGGGTCACATTGGCTGTACTTACTGCAGGTTGTTTGGCGGGTATCTTAGCTGAAGCCCAATCAATTGCTGCCACATTCCTGTCACTGTAAAAATGGACCCACATCCCCAGGGACCCACAGTGTCACCCACAGGGCATGACCTGAGCATCTCAAGCTAGCAAAACCTCTGGTCTTTTAAGGAGCAGCCAAGGGTAGCCACCAGCTGGCTTCAGCCAAGGCTGCTCGGGAGCTCAGCACCGACAACTCCAGAGTGTTCCACCTCCTACTTCCTATGAGGTGAACGCGCTGCGTGGGTGAACCCTTCAGTGTGAACCTGTGGCCTTCCAAGGTGAATCAAGTTGTCATTCCTGGTCAGAAAGGTGCGTATTGAACATTCCCCTGGGAGCACAACGCTCCCAGCATTTCCAGCTTCAGTGGCCATGACTGCCATCCCGAGCACTGCTGTCTGCAGCTGAGGTGCACGTTTCCCAGGAAAGCTTCCTTGTCCCCAGCAAATTCACACAGGTGAGACATCTACCTGCTTACTTATTAATGATGAGCCTGGATTTCTCATGGGTTAAGACTGGTTTTAAAAATCAAAACAGGGGCCAGGGAGATGGCTCAGTAGAATAAGTGCTTGCCTGGCAAGCTCAAGGGCCTGAGTTCAATCCCCAGTTCTGCCAAAAAAAGAAAGAAAGAAAAAGAAAAAGAAAGAAACACTGACCTTTAAAAAAAATCAAAACAATAAATCATATTTTAGCCCAGCATCTGGAAACATTCAGTACTCAGTGGAAGTGCTGCTGCTAATATCGTTGGTGAAGGGAGTTTTATTATTTTTGCATTCTGCAGAAGGTAGTCTTTCCACCCAGAGTTGAAACTAGCCCACCAGAAGCACTGTGATCAGGATCGAGTACAGCAAGCAGTCAGTCCACTAAGCTTTGTCAAAACTAAGGCCCTCTCCACTAGTTGGCTTGATTGCAGCTGCCCTCTGGAGCTCATTGAGAATTCCATTTCGGTCAAGATTGCTTGCTTGTTAAGATTTGCTTTTCTCAAAGGACTTCCCAGGACCAAAGTGAAAAAATGTTTGGAAGCAAAGGAAAAAAAGGGAAGGGAGAGAGAAAAAAAGAGGGGAAAGGAGGGAGGAAGGAAAATGAAGAAGTAAAGGAAGGGAGAGGAAGGGAAGGGGGTCCTGAGCTTCAAAATGGACTAAGATTTTAATAAGATGTGGCTTAAAATTCCGGCAGGGTGGTTGCCTTGTCACACTGTGCGAGATAATGCCTACCACAGGACAGAGCAGAAGGAACACAGAGAACCCTGGGTAGAGCCCCAGAGGGCTAGGATCAATCCATTAGACTCCATCTTTAGAAGTATCGTGATTGTCTTTCTTGTAAATAAGAGTCCCAAAGACTTAATGTAAGAAATATTTTTAATATAAAAGAGCAACATAAAGTACACACATAACCTCACCTGCAGAGATAATCATTCTAGTTTTTCCCACTAATCTTTCACCTTATCAAGATCATATTCTGTATTGTATGTAGAAGTTTTACATCTATCCTTTCATCTTGCTTCATGTCATAAACACTTTTCAGAGTCATAAAAATTCTTTGAAAATATTGCTTTTAATAGCTACCTAATATTCTCTTGTAAGGAGGATCCATAGTTTATTATGAACATTCCTGAGTTCAGCCTTGTCTTTGATTACTAATTAGAAGCAGCCAAACTCCTCCATCAGTGCCTTCACTCCATGTCTTGGATCCCAAGAGTGTAGCTGTGGTCCAGGCAAATGTTCCTTCCTACAGACAACCCAGGAGGTGACTGGGGGAGGGAAAGAGCTGTCAGAGTGCCAGGAGGAAGCTTCCTGCTGTTCGGGGATTCCCAGTCTTCTGTCTGAATGCTCTGACAGATAACAGTCAGTCCAGGTGGAGAGGCAAGACCAGGCTTCCCACTACAGGACGCCTCGGCCTCAAAGCCCCGGTTCATGCCAGCCCACTGAGCAGGGTGGGTTCGTCTTAACTCTAAGCGATGACTCCATAAATTAGTCATAAATCAGGCCAATGGGTCCCCTGCTGATTCTAGCACATAAAACTTACAAAGATAAATAAGTCATGGCCACATCTTTACCTGATTTACAGTTGCCAGTTTCCCCAAAGCAGGAGGGAACAGTTCCTCTGAGGCAAGATCCTGAGAGAAGCTGACATGACAGGAAGCTCACCTGGCTAAGTCATTAGGTCCTGCAGCCAGCGCTCCTGTGCTGATGGTCCAGGGAGACACAGAGACTAGAGGCTCAAGGACACCTGAGGTCTACAGCTCTGGGAGGGACTCTGCCATCCTAGCTGGAAAGAGGTGGCTAAGCAGCTGTAAGCCTTGTGGTTTTGTAGAAGCATTGACAAGCACTGAATTCTTCTGTGGGACACTGATGTCACCTCCACAGTAAAGGCTGGAATATGAGGGTGGAGACAAACAACACAGGAGGGCATTTGGTGGAGGTGTAGAGAAGTACTGGAAATGATAGGAACGCTAATGGTGGGGAGGAGGGGAGAGAGAGAGAGAGAGAGAGAGAGAGAGAGAGAGAGAGAGAGAGAAGAGGAGAGGAGAGAGAAGAGAGGTGGGGAAGGGGAAAAGGAAGGGAAAGGGGAGGGAAGGAAGAGAGCAATCAAAAAACTATTGAGCCCCACCAGGAATCAACTAAATGTAATTAACACCAAATGATCACATTTTACAATCTATATCATTTAAAAAATTTACATGTAGTTGCCAGCACAGACTAAAAGACACACTCATTTTCTGTTATCAGTGGCATAAATTTGCATTTCATAATGGAATCAAAAGCCAACATCCATGTGTTCTGTTGGGCTAGCCCACATCTTCCCAGTTGGCCTGAGGAATACAGCAGGGTTGTCTCCAGGGATTTAGGTGCAGGAACACCCATGCTCTATTACTCATAATGCCAAAGTATTGGAAGCAGCCTAAATATTCCCAAAAAGAAAATCAGTTTAATTAATTGTGATAACTGCTTTGATGGAACACCGAATAGTAACATAGTATTTACATTTTTGAAAGTGCTTTTTTAATCACAAAGGAAAATGCTCATAGCTGAGATACAGTAGAATCCCAATTTTGTTAACTTTTTTAAAAAGATATTTAGTATAGGGTCTACAGCATCTCACTACACAGATTGGACTCGTAATGATCCTTCCCGTTTTTCAGCCTCCCAAGTGCTGGGATTACAGGGTGCGCCACCACGCCTTCTCAGCACGCCCTGGGGTTGGGGCCAGCACAGCAGGCCAGGGGTCGAACCCCCAGCCCCTGTATCTGCCTGAGCAGGCACTTTAATCCACTGAGCTATCTGGCCAGCCCTCAATTTTGTTAATTGATAGATGATAGAAATAGGCATCTCATATATGTATACGTGTCATTTTTACATATTTATACAATATACATATATAGAGAGACACAGAGACAGGGAGACAGAGTCAGAGAGAAAGACAGAGAAGGAGAGGAGCAGAGGCAGTGTCGCGAGTAGCCCAGAGTCTCCTGTGCAACTTGGTGACTGTATGGAAAATGGTCCTTACTATCCTATATAATCCATCTTAGCTTAAAAAGAAATGCAAAGGAAATCAGTATAGCTTTGAAACTTTAAAACCACCACCTAGGTGGCCTATTCCAGATAACTGGGGAATTACTTTAGCCTTGATGTGTCTGTTGGTCATAAATCAGGATTTCAGGTAGGGTTATGGGGCTTAGAAACCTCCATGGTGGTGTGAGAAAGGCCAGCACGGTCTCACTGTTTCAACCTCCCAGCAGAAATCCTATTCTTGGAAGGAGGCTACCGAGCGCAGTCCACACCTGGAGTTCCTTGGCCTTATCTGAATTTTATCGGTGCTGTAGTCGGATTTGTTGGGTCAGCAGTTCTGCAGCTGGTTAGAGGTATCTTTGATTAATAAGAGAATGGGAAGATGAATTAAATGATACTGAGAAAAGGACATTTGCTTAGCAGGCAGAAATCTTATAAAACAATGCTTCATTAAAAAAAAAAGTAATAAAAGCGTCTGTAATAGTAGTAATGTATTCGCCCGAGAACTCTACTTCGTCCCTGAACCACTCGGCCTTCCCTCCTCCTGGGCCTGTCAGGACCTCCGGAGGAATGCGGATGGCGCAAACCCTGCTGTGTAAAAGGGGATGGCGTGCCCTCCTTAAAGAGGTTATGTATTAAATGTAAGTTACCGAAGCAGGGAAACCAAGTGACCGCGTGGACCAGCCAACAGAAACGGTCGCGGTGCTCACCGAGAGATACACACGGCTTGCGTACCGGGAAGCGCACCCTGCAGAAGTGTTTTCGACTTCAGAGTATTTTGGATTTGGAAATACGCATACAGGCTTCGGTGATGGAGCACACCAGATGTGGAAATCTGAACTATGAAATGTGCAACATTTTAAGTGCTCGAGAAGTTTGGGATTTCGGATTTTTCAGATGAAGGAGCTTCAACCTGTCCTCGCCTGCCTACAGCAGCAGTGTCACCTCCAAGCTGGAAATTACTCAGAGCTCGTCAGGGGTCTAACAGATTAAGCACCCGGCAGTGCACTCTCCCCTGGGCCGGGGGATGGGCACCCTGGGACCGTGGCAGCGGTGCCACAGTCGATCAGAACATTTCATGCTGCACAGCTGTATTTGGAAAATGGACCAAAGAGGCTAATGTAGTCTGTCCTGGTAGACGCTCACCCTAAGAGTAGCAAAGCCTGGAAGGGAGGCTGAGGAGG